CTTTTTAAAAACTTTTAAATGTTTTAAAAAAAAAAAAAAAAAAAAAAAAAGAAACCCAACAGGGCAGGAACCTAAATTCTGAGACCCAATGTAAAAGTCAGATTTGGTGGTTCTCAGAGTGACACTGAGGGTTTTTGTGGGGAAGGGGAAGGGTGGTCAGAGATGGGTTCTCTTGTTGGCCTTTGTGTCTCACTGGTTTTCATCTTCCACATCCTGCAGCGCTTCTTTATTCTGTTCTTCACCTATGGAAGTGTTTAAAAGTAAAGGAAGATGTTAACTTTGAAAAAAGAGATCTGCAGAATGGTTTAACAAGCATCTAGAGATTAATAGTTTCATGCAAGTACACACACTCGCTCACGCACTTGCAGAAATGACACACACACTCATAACGGAGCCAGTTCCGGAGTGAAGCGTTTCCATGGAAATTAAGCCTTATAATCACCTCCTCACATTTCCCACAGAGCTGCAGCACGGGCTGTGAGGAGACATACTCTGTCATAAGGACAAATAAAACCCACCATTTCTGAAAACTGAGACTGATCCCATCGATCAAGGGATGAACAGCCAAGACAAGAGTCATCAGAAGGGCTGTAGATCAACATCCTCAAGTCAGAAAATTCCTTCCCAAGAACCTCTAGAGCGCGCGCTAAGGACAAACTATTTACTAGCTCCAGAAATGAGACCAGAACAGGTTTTAGAAATTAAACCTTTTTTTGCCCAAGTTCACTCAAGTCTCAAGCACAGCAAAGTATTGCCGTTAGTTTATATTTAGAAACTAACACTGATGTCATGTACTAATAAAGGTACCAAAAGAAATGTGAAAGAACATCCCTATTTCAAGTCCAACATGACAGGAATCCCTAGGCTTGAGGTCATTAAAGGAGAACAATTTAGGGTAATTAATTTCTCTTGAAAAATAGCCAGTTTGGACCTAGTCAACCAGGCTGCCACATGCACTGAAATGGAAATCCATCCATAAAGACTCTTTGGTTCCACTTGAGCCGCCCCTGGGGGAGGTACATGCAACACCCTCCCACGGCTCTGCCCCGTTCCTGCTGCACCAGGAAAGAAGTTGAATGCACTTGAGGTAGTGCCAGGACACATGCACGATTAAGTTAATTGAGAAGAGAAACTGAAAAATGGTTTTCTTTACAATTATCCTTAACCACGTGAGATGGTACTCTCTTAAGGGCAATAAACAAAAACTACCCGCTCAAAATAATTAATTTGCAATAAAATCTAATCGAATGAGACTAATGACTTTCAGCATCTAATCGGAATGCCTGCTCAGAGCATGTCCAGATTCAGAATTATCACCAGGTACAACACAAGGCAGATTTTGGAAGAGGTGGCCTAGGAATACAAGACATCCGACATTCAGCAACAATAAAATTTACAGTTAAAGTTCCAGAACAGATCATTTAAAAGAGGAAAGCAGAGGCCCTAACCCAGGAAGACGATTAAAAGACGATCTGAGCATGCTCTAGCCAACACACTTAAGCAAATACTCCTGTAACAGGCCATTGTGAAAGTATTTTTCATGCCCAAATATAATATCCATCCAGGAATGCAGCTCAATTCCCAAACACGTTAAGTTACTTTGGATCTTAGTCAAGCGTATTGGACCTGGGCAGGGGAACAGGTCGCAGATTGGTAGGACATTGCTTAGCCCTGGAATGGAGTCAGAGATACAAGCAATTCATCAGCAGCAAGAGAGTGACAGAGGCAAGCATGATTAGTGATCGGAAGAAAACTGGCGCTGCAAAGTTCATTAAGCCATGACGAAGACTTACAAAGTAGAGTTTTTAGGAAATGAACAGTTGGACTTTCCTTTAGGAATCTATACAGCAGGAAAGAAGGGGAAAACAGGAATCATATGAAGACGACATTACAAGCGTGAAAATAAATTAAACAGCTCCTCTATGACATGGTTAAGAGATACAGTAAATGAGATGGAGAAGTGCAGCAGCTGAGTGACACCTCATTTTAGAGTCAGTCCCTACAACCTACACACCTGAAAGCAGAACAGGCAAAAGCTTAACATGAAAGAACAAGCCTTTTTTAAGTCTCACCCACCCCTCAGGAAACTGGTAATTGTGATGATCTTTCAGGGCCACCATGAAATTTTAATACTCTTCAAAGGCCCTAACCCATTTCAGAAATACCAAGTTTTCTGGAAACAACAGTGTATGAGCATGGTACGAAGAAATGAGAAAATTTAACTTTGCACTTATGTATAACATTATGTATAAATACTGTATTTTTTTGTGGACATGAAGAACTGCACCATGATTTTAAGTAGTTCTGCAGTGTTTTAAATTCTGTCATCATTATCTTTCTGGCATGCATCATAAACAGTAATAGGATAATCTGAAATACTCAGGAGGAAGAAAAATACCTATTTCTATGCTATGGAGCTAATTATAAAACAAGAAATTTGAATTTAGATTACACAAAAAGAAATAGTGAGCATCTGTAAATCATCTTGGTGAACTTCTATGATATACAAGATAAACGAGACATATGTTTATCAGCTCACATGCAAACAGCAATAGGTTTTGGAAGATGTTCTAATGCTATTATCTTACAATAGTGACCCAGCCTTGTTACTTCACCAAAATGGTTTCCTCAGTGTTCCCACAGAGCACCAGGATATTTGCCTCCATTTAAAAAGCATAAAACAAAAGGTCATATTTGAATTATGGGGACTGGGAACAGATTTCTTTTCCCAAAGCCTAACCATGGCAAGGAGGTATCTAGTAATACCTGCAGCATTCCGAGCAGAGTCTGTACAGACCCATCCAGGACACACACATCCTTCCACACCATTAGATAATCTCACATCTTTGAAAGCCAGGTGTGACCTCTGGCAAAGGACTTAAGCAAGAGACAGAGGCTGCAGGGTGACCTGGGAGCCAAGACCCCCCAACAGCAACAGTTTTTTCACTTCTATCTAAAGCTCAAAGTAATACAGGCAAAATGTGACCTGCAGCATTCAATAGTCATCATCTGTGCAAAGAGCTAGAAGCTACCAAGTAACAATACTTCTTTAAAACAAACCCAGGTAGTCAAGAAAAAGTTAATACAATTGCCTTCAAATGGACACTACCCCAATAAAGTAGCCAAACAGCATTATTTTGGAGTAGCACCATGCTTCATTTTTTCTTGCAAAAAAATTTAAGGCATTTATCTGAAGTTAAGCACAATGCTGTTTCAAACCTCTGTGCATTTCTAAGTGAAATACTTTAAACAGTGACATACTTTAAACAGGACTGCCTTCCGTCCCTCCCACCCTGCAAGTCAAAAGCAAAGAAACCCAACTCTTTCCACTTGTGTCTCTCCATGACATAATTTTTGCAGAAGAAAATGTAAATTTACACTTCCTAAATAGAGAACACATTCAATTCACTACCAATTACCAGTGAAACAAAAGGCTTAACTCAAAAAAATCTGAACAAGAGTAAATTTATATTAAGCATTGTATGTGAAAGTGTAAGAGGAAAAAGTCCATTCAGAATGCAAAAAAAATTTTTAAAAAATTTAAGTAACTCTCAGATGTTAGTAAACAGAAGCAATCAATGTCCCACCCTCTGCTACTGCCACAGGACATACTCAGTATCTGCTCTGGCAATAGCCCACTTCAGGAGTCACAACCTAGAATTTTGGGGAGTATTAAAGAAAGTACTTTGAATATCTCAACTAGGAAATTAGATTTCTCCAAGCTTCTCCCCACCCCATTAACAAAGTATTCTACCAAATCCCTTTTCCTCTTCTCTTCATACTCAATTCTTCCTAAGAAGAGTAAAAGATACAGAAAGCCCTGTAAAGTGAAGTGATCAGTACGATGGTAAAGTCTTCCACTAAAATGCCAACAGAAATATTGAGTGACCTGAAATAAAAGGGGGAACTAGATCATTTGCAGGACTTCCTCCTGCACTGGAAATTCACATCTGGATGGAAGGACGACCATAGATGGACAGGACAAGCCATGAGAAAGAAAAGCTTAATTATATGAAGTCACTGCTTTTAAAATAATCACAGATGACTGAACAGCCAGGTGGGGAGGAAAAAGAAATAAATTAATGTTACTAATTCTACACCACCTTCCTTCAAGTGAGCGCTTAAAAGCTTCTCAAAGAAGCTAGTGTTGCCCCATCAACTTATCCAGTGTTAAGATAAAACACAAGTTCAGGGAGATCAATTATTAGGAAAGACAGAAGTAAAACACCAAATGAATCTACATTTCCACACGCAGTTTTCTGGGCAGCGATCGGGGACAGCAGCGTGTCAGAGCAGTTTACTTACCATCACCCTGCATGTCTGAAGTCCATAGTGTCAGATTATCACGTAACAACTGCATGATAAGTGTAGAGTCCTTATAGCTTTCTTCACTCAGTGTATCCAGTTCTGCAATAGCATCATCGAAAGCTGCTTTTGCCAACCTGTAAGCACAGAATAAAGTCAGAGTTAACAAATGTTGCTAAATAGAATCCAGAAGCACCCAAGTTAAACCTGTGCCTCTGAACACCCATCTTCTAGTTTGGTTATGTGACACCCACAGCTTCTGCAACACATTTCTATATTATTTAACACTGTTTAGATGTCCTATCTTCAAAACCAGTCATTTTGTACGGTTAAAAACAGCATCTTTTTACCCAAGAATAACTGGTTTTATTAACTATTTCTACATCTTGCAGTACAGTTGATCAGAGTCTACTAAAAGCTTAAAAGAAAGTATTTTACATAACATGCAATGATAGGAATACAAGACAAACAATACTTGCTTCAGTCCTCACTTACCCTCATGAGCTGAACCCCTACAGACAGATGAGCTATTGTCATTCTGTACATGCCCAGAGTTCACAGAAATTAGTAATATGACCCCTCTTACCTTGGATAACAGCCAACAGAAAGAGAGGAATCTTAAATCACCTCACATTTTTGAAGCATAAGGGCATGCCCAGAGTTAACGTGGCAAGCTCTTAAGTTGTCATTAGTTGATCAAGCCAAGGTTACCACTACCCTGCTCCTCATACACGATCCACTCCCAGATAAACAAATGGGTTTGGATTCAAAGAAAAACGACAAAGCTGAAAACCTTTCCAAGGAATTGCCCTCAAACAGAGCAAGTCATCAACTACTGGCAGGAAGAAAGCCAGCCCAGTGCTCCTGTTGAGGAAAAGCAGTTCCCCAAGCAGCAACCATTTCTGGCTTGTTTGGTATTCACATAAACATTCCCCATCTTCCCAGTCACCGCCTACCTGCAGGCACGATCAGGAGAATTAAGAATTTCATAGTAGAATACAGAGAAGTTGAGCGCAAGTCCTAAGCGGATAGGATGTGTTGGCGGGAGTTCTGTCATTGCAATATCACTAGCAGCTTTATAAGCCACCAAGCTATTCTCTGCAGCCTCCTTCCTGTCATTTCCTGTGGCAAACTCAGCCAGATACCTATGGTAGTCCCCCTTCCTGCAAACAGAAAGAGTTCAATCAGTAGCCCGTTAATTCCCCACCGGCAACTAAATTCAAAGCTTAATTCTGAAACTGAAGTTTGTATCTTCACACACAAAGGACAGTGCTGCTGAATTACTGTCTAGACAACAGTGCACTAGTGCTCCAGTGAATTTTAACCCATCAGGCAGGGAAAACAGTTTGGGTTCACTTATCTTCTTGCATTAATACACGAAATCATAGTATTACCTTCTGCATTACCAAACTGTGTCTGCACAACCGCATCTCATCTAAACCAGACAAGTTTTTGATCTGAAGGGTAGAGATAATTCAACTGGAGGGGAAAACACTCTTGATCACTTCAAGATTCAAATTATGCTTCAGGAAATACAAAATATGCAAACTAGTGACACCACAACATACTCCAAGGCCAAGTTTCATTTTTCAATTTAAAATTTTCAATTTTTAAGTTGACATCACATGACAGTTATCTGTCTACCTAATTTTCTTCTCTTTATGAGTGTACAGCTCATGCAAGAAAAACACTGAAACAGCAATGAGATCGCTATGTTATCAGCTCATTTAAAGAAAACAGTTGTTTCTTACATTGAAGAGCTGGACAACAGCTTATCTTTAAGTTCTCATGACCTTATTCCAAACAACATCATCTATCCAAAACCACACAATAAGGACACTTAACACCTTAGAGTAATCAAAAAGGAAGATTGGTCAGACATGAGTGAACTGCCCTCTTTTCTAGAAGAGGTTACTGGGGTTGAGCAGCCAAAACACACACGTATAACTACTTTATTTTTGTATTTGATAGTTCAGATGCAGCAAGAGGTACTTGCATCACAAGAACATACTTACATTTTGTAATAGAAAACCTTGGACTCGCCAGTGTTAGCTGCTGGAATGAGGTGTTTGTCCAGTACATCCAGAATGTCACAACAGATTAACTTCAGTTCAGTCTCAACCTATTAAAAAAAACAACAAAACAGAGATGAGGTTAGCACATAAGACTAAGAGCTATTAAAAAATATCCAAGCATCAAACAGGCAACACCCTGAAAATCCAAAGAAGGGGAGGACAGCAGAAAACAACAAATTCAGCTGTTCCACAGGTGCATTAAGCAAAACAGTTCTCCACAATTAGCTGATGCACAAGAAAAGGTAAGGACTGATGGCTGTATGATGAAATGCCCAACTGAATAACAGAATTATGAATTCCCTAGAAGACATCCTGCTAGACAGTTGCATTAAGTCTGTCTCAGGATGTAACTCCTTACTGCAAGGCTTGCACAACTCCTAATTCCATAAGTTTCTGACCCTGGAAGGATGCCCTAAAAGTAGCAATGGTGAAGGGGACAATTTGAAAGTAATTAATACAAATCAGCTAAACTACATTCCACCCCAGAGTTAAATGGCACCTTCAGAACAAGTTTCTAGTGACTACTTGGGAGGCAAAATGAAGATGTGCCACACAAATAAAAAGATCAGATACAGGAGTAAAACAAACTCCAGACGGTACAAACTTCAGAAACAGGCAAAAAAAGCAAAGCGTAACAACTTTGAGAAAAAGCAGAAGTCATCAACACCAACAGTGAGATCTGTGGTCGAAGAAAACCAATATGTAAAGCCTTATTTAAAAACAGATTTGGATTTTAATAGCCAAAAGTTGAAAGCATGGTCACATCACCTTTCTTTTTTCAAATATACAATATAAAGCAAGGTCTACGAGGTTAGATTTTACCACAGAAAGTTTCACACTTGAAAGCGAAGAAACTAAGCATACCCAAAAAAGCTAAAAACTGTCTTTTGACATCACCATTGCCAAAACCAGACTTGCTCTCAGCATCCCGCGTCGCTCTCAGTACGAATGGTTGGTTCAGTGCAGATAGTAACCTACTGCTGCTCTTTCATGATTTTGCAGTAACTTTCATAGCTACAGCCAAAGACAACTCTGGCTCAAGCTACTTCTATTACTATAAAGTAGATGTTTTCAAGTAAACGCATCAACACTAGTTATGAGGAACTACCAATAACTGCATGTCTTGGATCACAAGAGCAGCCCCACTCAGTCCACTATCCCTTCCTATCCTCCCGCCCATGCAATTCTATTTCCTACTTTAAGCATTTTTCTTGCCATACTATTTTTATCACCAGATAGCTCCCCAACCATTAGGGTTTGTAACCACAACATCTATCCTCAAAAGATGTTAAAGTTCTGGATCCAAAATAAACATTAAACTGGCACACACATACACATACCAATTTGTACAAAATTACTTTCAGGATTTGCAGAAGTTCCTTTAGAGAAATTAATCTACAGCAAATTTCATATATAATGTCAGAATGCCCTAACATTCAGAAGAAGGGTTAGATGCTATAAAGTTACATGACAAATGCTTAAGAAAGTTGCTGAAATATTGGTCCCTTGAGAATAATCTATTTCATATATGTTTGGGCTACAAAAGCTATAAAACCTTTGGCCAGGAGTCAGTTCCTGCAAACTTCTTTCCTCTTGATCCTCTTTTTCAATGACTTCTTTTGCAGAGAGATCTTCAGCAAAACTGCAAAGAATTAAATCAGTTTCTAATCCTCTTTTGTTAAATAACCATACATGTACAAACTTCTAATTCATCTCAGACCTTTTTCAGCTTTGCTTAAAGGATCAGTCACACAAGTTATCGGAGATCAGCTGCTGTCCAGGCAATGTAAATGTCCTGACTAAGCTTAGTTTAAAAAGATTTAATACAAATCAAGTTGATTAAGAACAATACAAAAACCCCACAACAAAGCCCTAAAAGCTCTTTTACCAAACGGTCTGTTCTAGACAGGGTGACTCAATGAGCTCAGCAAAGCAGCAAATCAGCACGAGAGTCCACATTAAGCCTTTTCAGAGCATTCAGAAAAGGTAGGTTTAGGGTCTATCACCATTCCAGCTCCAAATATGCCACATGGTCCTACCTACAGGCTCTGATGGTCAAGGAGAGACTGCTCACCCCAATGGGTGCGTAGAAGCCTCCACAAGCCACCCTGCCTCTCTATTTTAGCAGTAGCTCTGGCTTAATCAGATTCCAGACTGTGTTCTTAGCTCTGCAGATACAAAAGCTTGTAAACCACCCGGTGATCTAAATAAGGAAACTTATTAGAAGCAACCAGGAGAAGGGTAGCCTGTACTAGTTCTTTGACCTGTTTTAATACGTAGCCCCCAAAATAGCTGCACCTCTCAACTGAGATGCAACACGAAACTAGAACAGCAGGAAAACAGTTGCTGAAGCCTGTAACCTCCCCCCCTCCCAGGCCAAAAAAGACAGACCGACCACCCACATTTCTGCCAATTCATAGCCCAAGCTTTCTAAGAAGAGGGGAAGGAGAAACGAGCCCTGCAGGTGCCCCAAAACACAACCCAGGTTCTAAGTCAGAGCACTAGAAACACACATTCTCATATGCCACAAACACAGACCAGTAAGAGGAAGGTGAATACTTGTCCTATGCTATTAGGGAAGGGATTTGGTTTTACTGTACAGACACACACCACTTCATCCTCTCAAGGACAAAGAGCACAAGCTTTAGTGTGTTCTCATCTACAGAGATGCAGTCAGATGAGAAAGCCAAGGGCTTTACTTTTGTGTATCCAAATGGACCAACAGGACCCAGAAAAGCAGCCTCTCTACAAAGGAGGTGAGTAAGTGGCATTTTCCCCCATGGCCATGGATGTGTTTTACTACATTTGTCTTAAGTGCCTTGGGTAAAGGCACAGCCTGGTGTCTTCCAGCATCTCTCACAGTTGCTCAGTGTACGCCTCAGACAAAACCAGCCTGGCCCTATTCTGACACCACCATCATCCCTTGAGTTCTGCCCCAAGCCCCCTAGCTAGTAGCCCAAACTCACTCCAAACACGTGCTAAATTATAATAAATACTGATGTAGACCAAATCCACCAATTACTTTCACACAAGGTACACCTTTCATTTCAACTCAAGCAGTACTCTCTAGCTGAGCAAGGTCACACCTGGTTGCAGTGGCAGGTGAGAGAGATGTGTTTCTGTAGAGATGCTGGTTCTCTCCAACTCCCCAGTGCTCTGAACTTGGCCTGTCAGTTCCCAGACAAGTGTTCTGTTGTGGCTCTTTTCCTTATTCAGAGCCTTTTATAACTGGGAAGTGTCACCCAACAACACTGAACTTACTCTGAAAAACGCTGCAATTGTGGGCATTTGTTGACAATGTAGCATGACCAGAACTCTGCTGAGCCTGCTCTGGACCTTATCTCCAGAGAAGCACTGAACATGTCAACAGGGCAGCTGTGCTACTGTTCCAGCAGCATCAGTGAGAAGTATCACCCAAACCTTTGCAGTATGTTCTTCAGGCCCTTATTGCTCCGGTGACATCTTGCCAAATGCTTTAACACTCACCTTACAGCAGATCTGAAAGGTCCCTTCCAACCTAGATAATTCTATGATTCTATGTTAACTCATAGTAAGTCTCCCAGGAGGTACAAACAGGATCTGGTCTTCAGCTACAAACGATACACAGAAGCCTCTAGGAAAACAGAGGCTGGAGCTGAGCAGACCCAGCTGGTCTTTCTCCAGTACAGAACGACATTACAGCTCTCCACAGCCCTCCTCCACCTAAAGTCACTGGGATAGCTATTACCTTTCAGGATTTAAGAGCTGAAGATACTGTTGGTGTGGCACTGTGCTGCAAGTGGCCTCTCTCTAGGTACTTCAAGGACTACATACGTATATTTTTTGAACACCCCTCTGTTCTGCAGGATACCTGCTCTCTTTACAAAGAGAGATACAGAACATCTTTTTTACAGTCCCTTTGAAAACAAGAAAAAAAAAAGTCTTTTCACTATTAAAGGATCTTTTGCAGAAGATGGTAATGACCCACAAAGTGTTGTGCAAAAAAAACTGGAAGCACACAGTAGAAGACAAATTTAAACAATCATCAGATAGCTATTGTCTTATTTTGTATGTTCTCTTAGAAAGATTTTATACACCCATCAAGAAATGGTATTTGAGACTGTATGTAACTGGCAGAGCCTCATCCCATCAGCATGCCAACATAAAATTAGAAACTCACAACTTTAACAATTCCATGGAGCAACAGAAACCCTGTGAGTCAACAGAAAGTAGTCCTGAGCCATTCCTGAGAAAAGATTTCCAAGCCAACATCATTTCCATTGGTAGTACATGAATCAGTGCCAGGTGATATAATAGACTCCACTGTTTCTCTGGAAGTGAAGATCTGAACCATGTGGAGGCACTTGTCCTCAAATAATGGAGAGTAAGTCTCTGCAGAAATGTGTAGGATTTAAATAGCATGGGAGCCTGCCTGCTCCGTGCTAAACCATCATTTAAGGAAGGGGGGGTGAGGAGGGAACAACAACTCACTGTTCTAATAGCTGAAGGTTTCATTAGCCCTTACTGATGAAAGTCAAAGCTTGCTCCAAGTTCTCCATTTTAGGTAAAGCTGCACAGACTGACTAGACTCAGCATGAAGTTATGTGCATCAATTTTTCCTCCTCTCAAGAGAGAGAAAATAGCAAGGCCCTAGAGGTTATTACACACGCAAGTTTCACAGTTGAGATGACCATGACATCTTAATATCCTCCATCCCCAGGAACATGGAGTGCTTTATCTTAAATTGACTGCTTTAACTGCTCTCAGTGTGACTGACCATCTTAGGGACAAGAAAAAAAGAAAAATCTGTTAACTCATAGTAAGTCTCCCAGGAGGTACAAACAGGATCTGGTCTTCAGCTACAAACGATACACAGAAGCCTCTAGGAAAACAGAGGCTGGAGCTGAGCAGACCCAGCTGGTCTTTCTCCAGTACAGAACGACATTACAGCTCTCCACAGCCCTCCTCCACCTAAAGTCACTGGGATAGCTATTACCTTTCAGGATTTAAGAGCTGAAGATACTGTTGGTGTGGCACTGTGCTGCAAGTGGCCTCTCTCTAGGTACTTCAAGGACTACATACGTATATTTTTTGAACACCCCTCTGTTCTGCAGGATACCTGCTCTCTTTACAAAGAGAGATACAGAACATCTTTTTTACAGTCCCTTTGAAAACAAGAAAAAAAAAAGTCTTTTCACTATTAAAGGATCTTTTGCAGAAGATGGTAATGACCCACAAAGTGTTGTGCAAAAAAAACTGGAAGCACACAGTAGAAGACAAATTTAAACAATCATCAGATAGCTATTGTCTTATTTTGTATGTTCTCTTAGAAAGATTTTATACACCCATCAAGAAATGGTATTTGAGACTGTATGTAACTGGCAGAGCCTCATCCCATCAGCATGCCAACATAAAATTAGAAACTCACAACTTTAACAATTCCATGGAGCAACAGAAACCCTGTGAGTCAACAGAAAGTAGTCCTGAGCCATTCCTGAGAAAAGATTTCCAAGCCAACATCATTTCCATTGGTAGTACATGAATCAGTGCCAGGTGATATAATAGACTCCACTGTTTCTCTGGAAGTGAAGATCTGAACCATGTGGAGGCACTTGTCCTCAAATAATGGAGAGTAAGTCTCTGCAGAAATGTGTAGGATTTAAATAGCATGGGAGCCTGCCTGCTCCGTGCTAAACCATCATTTAAGGAAGGGGGGGTGAGGAGGGAACAACAACTCACTGTTCTAATAGCTGAAGGTTTCATTAGCCCTTACTGATGAAAGTCAAAGCTTGCTCCAAGTTCTCCATTTTAGGTAAAGCTGCACAGACTGACTAGACTCAGCATGAAGTTATGTGCATCAATTTTTCCTCCTCTCAAGAGAGAGAAAATAGCAAGGCCCTAGAGGTTATTACACACGCAAGTTTCACAGTTGAGATGACCATGACATCTTAATATCCTCCATCCCCAGGAACATGGAGTGCTTTATCTTAAATTGACTGCTTTAACTGCTCTCAGTGTGACTGACCATCTTAGGGACAAGAAAAAAAGAAAAATCTGTATTTTGAAAACTAGACACTGTCAGAGAAGCCATACTTTCTCTGCATTCATTTCATACAGGCGAAGCTGCCCAAGCTAATAATAGATCTGCCAGTTCAATTGTACAAGACTAACCAGGCAACTATTCCTCGCTGCCACCCAACTGCCAAGCACCGAGTTGACAGCAACTCCCACCAAGCTTTCATCTTGGGGAAAAAGTAACAAAACAAGGCCAATATATATGAAATGCAACTATCACAGTGATAAAAGCCAAGGTGAAGGAGTCAAAGAGAGAGGCCATTTGGCTTATGCTGCCTGTGTTTATGCCAACAACACTGAAGATCCCTCCCCGATGTTGGCGTTTCAATCAACAACGTTAATATTTTGAAATCTGCAAGACAGAGTACTGCAATAGCACAAATGTCACAGTCTCTATGAGCCAAAGCAGCTTATCAGAAGTAAAAACTGGACAGTCCAACACTTCCTTTGACATGGTTAATTTTCCAAAATAAGTAGGAAATATGCTGGGGATAAGTCAGGCTGGAGGGAAAAGAATAACTCCTCCTGAGCACATGCAGCCTCATTGAGTAATCAGGGAAGAAAGTGCGTGCCATCACTGTTCAAATACTGATTACACATGTAGATGCACTGAAGGAAAATCCCTCCCTTTCTCCTTTGAGTTTACTGCCCTTTTGAGTATTTACACAAACACACCCAACCTCTCCCCTTCACCAAGTCTATTTATTCTCCAGATAAGGAACAAACTTCATCCTTTGAAGACTGTCACCTTGTTACAGCTCACCACTCTGCAGGCAGTCTAGAATATCAGAGCAGTTTACGGCAAGGGTAACAAAACCAGACCTTAACTAAACGGCATTACGCTGTAACACCAACTACATCTTACCATTTGCCGATATTCCCGAATCATTTTTAATTTATCTTCTCCACCTTTGTTTTCTTCTTTCTGTTCAATGCTGCTGATTATTCTCCAGGAAGCTCTTCTGGCTCCAATCACGTTTTTATATGCAACAGAAAGCAGGTTTCTTTCTTCCACTGTCAACTCCACATCCATTCCAGCCACTTTCTTCATTGATTCAACCATTTCTAGGAAGAAAAGGTCAGACAATTATTCTCATAGCTAAAGCATCCTTCAAACCATTCAACAAAAGCTGTATGTTAATGATAGCTTACGAAAATAGGCTCCCTCCTCCTTTCATACACGGTTATTCCTCACTTTTATAGCAGAACGTTTTGAACAAATCAATGAGCGTGTACACAGAGGAAGTATCTGATGTTCTCTTAAATGCATTTGACAAGGGCCCCAACAAAATTCTTTAGACTCAGTTGTTTTGAATTTACTGGGGGTTTTTTAAGAGATAGACAAAAAGGATTCAGCAACAAACACGGTTTTAACAGTGGATAACAGTTATCAGTACAATCCTACAGGAACACGTGTTCTTCAAAGCGCTTCAAAGAAGGCAATGAATAGTGAGAAAAGCACGAGCAAGTATGAACTAGCTTTCAACACAGTAAGAATAAACTGAAGGATACAGAATGCTCCACTGATTTGTTAACTGGAATATAGTGTAACATGGTAATTACCCAAAACATAAAATCCAGATTTGAATAGATGTAAAGAAGTATGAGTACTGTTATTAGGGAAGCAAGTCAAAGTTCCAAGATAAAACCACCAAAAGAATAAGTAGGTGCTTGGAGAAGTAACAGAACAGTCATCCTGAGGATAACCAGAGCAACCATATCCACCCATGCCAAGCAGCTGTTTACACTAAGAAGCAACACACAATTTATAATCTAAACCTTTTGAAAAGGGCTTCTAAACTTGAGGTTAAAAAAATTACTAAATACATATTTCCTATACTCGAATGGAAGCAAAAGGTTGAATTACTTCAGGTTGGTTATAATCCTTTCTTTACCTAACCACATTAGGATTCCTTGTGACGTATTAGAAAAATAGAAGTTGAAAACAATAAATATATACTAACTGAGAGCCTACTATGAGATATCCAGGAATCACAGACTTTGTCCTACCACACAGTGCTGCAGTTCATCCACCATTTCCCTTCCAGCTTCTAGGACTGGTGGGAATCCCACAGACCGAAAACAAAACCATTAATGAATGAGACTAAGCCCCAACTATCCCATCTACTCAACAGGACAACTGTTTCATCACTTAGATTCAAAAAGACCCTTATTGAGTCCAAAATATTTAGCTTCTGCCAATATCATGATGATATTATCAGTCTACACCACCCATAATATGATGCTTTACTATTCTGTGACCTACTTACCTTGCCCACTCATCATCCCTCCCCCATCATTTTACCTCCTTATGTTCTGCTGTGTCACTGCAGCACAAGCAATAGGAAACTAACGAAGCTTAACTGTCAATTTTTTCCTCAGGTGCCAAAACTCACCATCATAACAAGCATAAGCTATTTCAGCAATGGAAACTGTAGGCTCAGTCTTTTTCCCTGGCTGGAACAATGTTATCAGTCTCCAACAGGTCTCCACATGTGCAGGACAAAATTTTATATTGGCTCTATTCTTACCAGAAGAGAAAAAAAAAAATCCCTACTGGTACCTCTACCAGTAGATTTTGCTGCTCCAAATCACAGAAAGTAACAAAAAAACCACAACACCAAGGATTTGATAAAAACCTTTACAGAACACCACCCTACTATTGTAAAATGATGAACTGTTTCTGCTGAAGACTGCAAGAGTTGCCCTAAAACACTCCATATACATAGAGTTAATATTAACAAAAGCAGTGTCTTGTAATTTAAGCTAGCTGAAAGTTGAAGGCAATGATTTAGTTACAATATGCAACTTAAATAACACAGGCACTATGACTTATTTCCTGAAAGATGACCCTACCATCTATACAAAGAATTTATGTCAAAGCTGTAAATTTTTTAAATGATGGGAGTCATATTTTCAAGTTTCTTAGAACAGCAGAGCTACAACCAAGAAAACAAGCCTGACAGCGTTAATTTTTATGAACAAAGATGACCAACAAGAATTAAGACTTGCAGTCTCTGGTACTTGGGTACCTTTGTCAAGCTCCAGCAAGAAATGCAGGGCGTGTCTTTAAGCTTAATGTTTAACTGCCCTCAGATAAGAGTAGTCATTGAAACCACTACAGCCACAGTTTAAGAAATCAACCCTGTATTTGTGAACGTATATACACAAGACTTGGTATTCCCTGTAAATATGTATCTGATTCTAAAAGTATCATACAGATGTAATCAATTGCTTGGCTTCAGCAGAATTGCTAGCCTGAACACCTACAAGCCCTTGAAAGAGAGGTCCAACATCACTGCACATCAGAGGACACATAACATTTAAGGTGAGCAGCAGCTTTTACAGAGGCCAGACCTAAGATCCAGTCCTACAAGAAGCAGAGCTGCTGTCAATAGACATTAGTCCTGCTGCATCTCTTCAGTCTTCTGCAAAGAACGTCATTAACTATCAGCTTGTAGAACCACCGTGACCACAGAAACAACAGTGCCAAAAGAAAACAGTCAACTGCCCAGAACAAGTACCAGAAAACAGGCCTTGTCACCCAAAGATTTTTACGGCCATGAGTTGTTAATAAACCAAATATTCTTGATTGCTGTCACTTGGCAAGAAATCGAAGATGCTGGGGGGCAGAGGGGAGCACAGAAGGTTTTCTACATTTGCGCTGAAGCACAAAATCCTCAAGCTTTAACAGGTCTTCACACTAGATACATACTCTCTTTTAATACACTGCTGAAAGGAACTGAAACGTCTTCTCTTCAAAATCTTAATCCTGTTACTAGTTAAATACAAAACCACAGATTAAGTTCTCACCCATGAGCAAGTGTCTTACCCAAAGAGAAATTATTTATCAGCCTACCCACAAAACTCTTGGAGAAGAAGGCTTCTGGTTTAGTAAAGAGCCCAATTTTACTTACAATACAAAAATCATAGCTGGTGTTTCAACAAGAAAAAATGATTTTATGCATATACCTTGGTCTTCCATGGTAAAGCCATAATTCAGCCCTGAAAGTTTAAGCCTGATAAATAATCTTAAGAACTCAGGCAATACAAAAGCAAGAGGACAGCATATCTGAATATTCTCAATAGAAAACTAATTCCATACAGAAATAAAGCCATATACGCCTGCCAACAGAACAAATATTTTATATTCTAAGTGCAGCTTTACCTATCTGGAAGATTTCACAAGGAGGTTAAAAGCTCATAGACCACTCAAGACAAAATACAAGTCTGAGATTACATTTCAGTAAGAAGGATTACTGCAGTAATGACAACTCATTGCATGCACAATCCGGAGATGCTTACGCTGCATTATGGAAAAAGTAGTGTTATGCAGATTCAAAAAAGACAGAGATTGTCATTTAAGTGGTTAAGTTCCAGCCTTTCAGTTGATTGTGGCTGTCACCTTATTATGCTCCTGTCAGATCATGCCACCATTGGAGCAGGAAATCCCAAAAGTGTAAAAGTGTGGAAAGTCAGGGGAATATTCTGGAGAATGACACACTTGCCCTAGATTTATATCCTTCCCCAGGCATTTGCTGTTGGTTGTTATAAGAAATACCACAATAAATAGACATTTGGTCTGATCAGGTTTGGATATTCTTACAGAAAAAAGGCATTTAATTGAGACTCAAACCAACTGCCTAAGATACTACAAAACTGTAATAATGCCCATGCCATTTTTTAAGTTTCCACATTCTACTACTACTACAATTAAGATGCCCAACTCCTCTTTGCAAACATTGCTGACTCACCTCCAGCCACTGCAGAGTAACTGTGGGGACACACGCACACCACTTGTAAAACAGAAAGGATTTGGACAGTGGTTACCACTACACTAAGTGCTACCTACAAAATTTTTTTTTAAAACAAGCTGGTACATGGCTTGGGATCAGGTTTGGGTTTGTTTTAATATGAAAGATAAAGATTATGCCTTACTCTAAACTAAAAATTAAAGGGGAAGTTTACAAATGATGATAAGCATGTTTGATAGCCACCTACTAGGGGCCAACCCACAGAATTTGTACACTGGGCACTGCTGACAACAAAACTTAGTAGGTCACAAAAAATGCTTCTTTACCAGATAAAGATGAGAAACATTAAGTATCTGTTGCTTCTCAAACTCTAGGAATACAAGCAACTAAGGGGAACCGGAATGTCCCTGTGTAAGGAAATACAGAAGCAGGTATGTACAGCAAATTTAGTAGAAAGACAAAAATCCTTCCCAATACAGGATACAAACCAAGAAACAGTAGGCTGTACCAAAGGCATAGCCAGTATCTGACAGTTCTAACAAAGTTTGTGCTTGTAACAAAAAACATTTGGCCTAAACAAGGGCTTATGCACTAAGGAAGAGAACCTGATGGGGCAAAACTACAATATTTGCAACCTCTAATTCAGGTGCATATAATGCTCAAGTCTCTCACCAACCATGATGCTACAGTGTCTGATTTTTTCATTTGTTTTATGAAGCATCTAGTTATACAGCTTATGATGGGGCACACCTTATCTTCAACAATACAGAGAATCAACTTCAACCTTACTGCTGAAGTAACTATCCCTCCACCACTGCTTCAACACTACCACAGAAAAACAAGAGTTAGAATATCTATTAGTGGTGCTTAATTATCAAAAGAGGAACTATGTAAGTGAGAAAGCTTGTTAAAAGAAGAAAAAAAGAGCTTGTTGAGTAAAGGTGGTGTGGAGATGACTTGATAGCATACTGAAGGTTCAAATCAAAATGAACCTTAGGAAAACCCAGAAGGTGGCATTCTTAAATACTATGAAGTTGAGAGTAGCAGAAGCACAGCACTTTAGAAAACTGAAGCTGTGTTTTAGGTTTAATCCTTTCTATTCACCTTATCTAAAGGAATAAAGCAGACCAAGATCTTCAAGCTGCTAAGCTGCTGTTCAGGATCTATTTCAGCATTTCAGGAGCTAAAAGCTTCAAACAAGCATCCAGTGTGATGAGAAGACGTGAAGACTACAGCAGAAAAAAACCCACATGTTCACCATAGAAGATGGTGCACCATAGTGAGTATTCAGAAAACACTCAGTACAAGTACTAGCCTTGTGCTTGTTCATTCT